ATCCCCCAGAGGATTGATTTCAAGATCCTCATCCTCACCTACAAGGCCATTCACGGCCTTGCTCCCTCCTACCTCTCCAACCTACTATCCCCCTACCTGCCCGTACCCTCCGTTCCTCCGGCTCCGGTCTGCTCCACGTCCCCCGCCCCAACCGCCCTACCATCGGTGGTCGGGCCTTCAGCCTCTCAGCCCCCAGGCTCTGGAACTCTATCCCCCAGTGCCTTCGCCTTGCTTCCTCCCTTTCCTCCTTCAAGGCCGGTCTCAAAACCTTTCTCTTTGACCGTGCCTTCAGCTCCCCTCTCGACTCTCTTCCCCCTCCTCGCTCCCTCCCTTCCTTCCCCTCACCCTGACCATTTCCCCTCTGCTCGGGTCATGACCCAACTGTGCAGCGCCTTGGGACGTCCTCCTGACGTGAAAGGCGCTTTATAAATGGAATCTTGTTGTTGTTGTTGTGTGTGTAAATTCGCTGTTTTATTTCACTTTAATTAAAACATTTCAAGAATATTGTGATGTCTGTTTAGTCATGCTAATACAAAATTTTAAAAACAGGATATATAGCTGGTACATTTTATCATATTCATTGCATATCAAATATTTTTAGGACAGAATCAGTTCAGCTAATGCAATGCAGTTCTATTATGTATTAGTTTACTGTGGCTGATAAAATAATATTTTATTCTGTCAACAACTTTTGTTTATATAACGTCATTCACGTGGGAGAGCTGAGTACATGTCATTTTCCATATCAAAGACCCAGTTATTGATTATTTTTGAGAATTGGGGCTCAGAGCACTTATCTACCTGGCAGTGTAATTTTTCTCTTCACCAATGCCTTGCATCAATACATAACAGTGAGGAATTCCAGTTATAATTAACATTGTAGGCAACTCCAGGGAGCAGTGCTGGGCGGTGCTTCATTCTCAAAGGTTAACCAAGGTCCTGTCGGCCTGTTCCGATAGACCTTAAAGATCTCAAGGCACTATTCGAAAAGGGAAGGGAGTTTCTTCTGGTGTCGTGAACAACAATCCTCCAGTTAAATTGATTAATTTCATGGTTGTTTGTGAGATATTGCTGTGCACAAATAGACTCCGTTCTCAATTTGATGCCTTTGCGCTGTCAACTTGCACCGTAGCAGGCAAAGGCAAGCAGAGTGTTTTCATTCCAGATTATAATTATTCAAACACCTTCTACACTAATAGAGCCACAGAAATTTACAGCACAGAAGAAGGCTATTCAGTCCATCATGCCTGTGCTCGCTCTTTTAAAGTACAGTGCTTTTCAGTACTATTTCCCTGCCCTTTTTTCCACATTCTTGCAGTGTACTCATTTTTAGATTATTAAATGTTTTCATTTTTCTTCCCATAAACCTTGTTATCCTTCCTTAACCTTTTCTTCAGTTTATTATTCTGTGTGGTCTTCTATCTTGCCTCTCCGTCACTGATCAACAGCTCCCTTGACACTGGGAACATTTTACGTTGGTGCATTTATCAACTGACCAAAATAGTACATTTGTGGCTGACAGTTTTTGATTGCATGTTACGCAAAGTCCTTAGCTCAGTCTTGAACTAATATTTGGACGAGTTTCTGCCAGTTCTGGAACTTTGTGATGCCTTAGGTACACTTTTTCTTTAACACTTTTTCTCCTCTGACCTCCTTGCAAGTTCACTTTTGTTTGTTATGGGAGCTCAATGAGAAATAAGTATTTTGGGTGAATGAAGCAGCCAATTTAACTACAACAAAAAACCTGAATTGATTGACCAACTTTATTTGAAGATTGTTGGCCAGGACAATGAGGAAATCTCCCTTTTCTTTTCAAATAGTGCCATGGGATCTTTATGCCCATTTCCTTATTCAGCTGAACTTTTAAAGATCCTTTAGTATTATTCGAAAAGAGAGAAGAGTTTTATCCTGGTGTCCTGGTCACCAATCTTGTAAATAAAACTGCTCATTCACTTCATAGCTCTTTGTGAGACAAATTGGTTGCCAGATTCATCTATAAAATACAATCACTACATTTTACAATGAATCCTGGTACCCTCTGATCTTTAAGCATCACAAGACATTTGTGCAATTTAATATTCATAACTTTAATGTCTTCACTCATCCTGTTTAATTTCAACAGTATCTGGATTCATTGTACTCTGGTTATTTTGGATAGGCATCGAATGTATTGTTGATTTGAACAAAATGTTTTCAGAATAGCTTTTAAGTTCAATCAACGTTTGGTTTTAGAGTTTTGTTCCACGTAGGAAATGGGATTCTGATTAAATCCAACTGAAGCAGTTACCACTCCCAAGTTCAGGTAGTAACTAGTTTTCTGCCGAATCAGTTTTGATCAAATAACAAAGTGACAGGTTTTCACAATATTGGAATCCAGCTATATCATAACCAATAAAATCACCGTTTTCTCCTTCAGCTCAATAAGTTTGTAAGAAAGCATTAAAAGGGTAAAGACCACTTGGAGCGGTCAAGTCGCTCTTTGTGAAAGACAAGTTTAACTCCTTGCAAAGACATGGCAAAACTTGCACTATGATGCTTTCCACCCTCTGCATACAATTTGGGGACAGTTCTGCACATATGCTCACTAATGCCCAAAGATTAGGAAACAAACTCCAGAATTAGCATATTTTATTACACAGTTTAAACCTGACCTTCCCTTCATTCTCCCCACTTCCCTTTGGCAAAGGGAAGAGCAGTTTAATCGATATTGACCTTGTGATCATCTTGTGAGTGAATCTGACCCAGCAGCACAGAAGCAGGTTTGTGACAAATTACATTTTGCCCATCTGCGATCAGGGCTCCCTCTGCCTACTCATCCTCCTTGACTTCTCTGCTGTCTTCGATACCATTGACCACTCTATCCTTCTCCAAAGATGCACACTCCACCTCACTGAGCCAGTCCAGAACCTTGGTGTCTTGTTTGACCCTCAACTATCCTTTCTTCCCCACATCTGCGCCATGACCCGCTCTGCCTTCTCCCACCTCTGCAAGATCGCACGGCTCCACCACTGTCTCACACGGCAGGCCGCTGAGACCCTCATACGCGCATTCATAACTCGACTATGCAAACTATGTTTGTCGGCCTCCCCCAACTCCTCCTTCCATGGGCTGCAGATTATCCAGAACTCTGCAGCCCGTGTTCTCTCCTGCACCAGGCTCCATGACCCTATCACCCCCATCCTTGCCTGACTCCACTGGCTTCCCAACACACAGAGGATACAGTTCAAGATCCTGGTTCTCACCTTCAAAGCCCTCCATGGCCTTGCTCCCCACTACCTCTGCGACCTGCTAACTGCCTACCAACCTGCCCGCTCCCTCCACTCAGCGGGCTCCAGCCTACTTCATGTCCCTCGCCTCGCCCTCCCCACTCCACCATTGGCAGGCGGGCCTTCAGCCACTCTACCGACACCCTTTGGAACTCCATCCTGCAGGCCCTTCGCCTCAGCCCCTCCCTTGCCTCTCTCAAGATCCTCCTCTTTGACTGTGCATTCAATCACCCTCCTTCCCCTGCTGCCCTCCACCCTCCTTGATCCCGTTCCCCAGCTTGGGTCCGAAATACTTACTGTCCAGCGCCTTGGGACGACCTCCCATCATGAAAGGCGCAATACAAATGTAATTTGGGTGGTGGTGTTGTTTACTAATCTTTAGTCATTCAAGAGCACCTATGCAGAATGTTCCCTATGAAATTGAGCATGGAAGGTGGAGTGCATGATAGGATAGGTTTTACTGGAGTTAAACTTGTCTATGCAAAGAGTAACTTAATGGACCCAAGTGGCATTGTGTTTGATTGATGTCAATTTGCTCATCTTAGTCTGTACCTATTTCCATAAGCTTTACTGCTGCACTCAACCAGAGGCTTGTCCCAGGTTTATTTTGAAGATGCTGCATTGCCTATTATGGGGAATCTGTTGTACACGCACTATGTGGTGCACATGATTGTGGCTGGGAAAGGGGGAGGAAGAGAAGAGAATCTAATTTCTTGTTTTGCTTGAAGCTATCATACAATAATATATATAATAATCCTTGCATTTAATAGAGCGCTTTTCACGTCTTCTCGACATCTCAAAGCTCTTCACAGCATAGACTGTAAAGTGAATTGACCGTATATTTGTGGGCGATTAGTTTCAAACATAAACATACGATCCCTAGTTGTGCTCTCATCATCCAACTCGAATGCTTACATCCACCTCATCTATGCCACTGAACGTTTTAAAGACCTAGATCATTTTCTTCCTCATTGTTCTTCCTCATTTCTTCCTCATTCCTCATCTGGAACTCCATCCCCCAGTGCCTTGCTTCCTCCCTTTCCTCCTTCAAGGCCGGTCTCAAGACCTTCCTCTTTGACCGTACCTTCAGCTCCCCTCTCGACTCTCTAACCCCTCCTCGCTCCCTCCCTTCCCTCCCCTCACCCTGACCATTTCTCCCCTGCTCGGGTCCTGACCCAACTGTCCAGCGCCTTGGGACGTCCTCCCGATGTGAAAGGCGCTCCATAAATGGAATCTTGTTGTTGTTGTTGATTGTTCTTTTTGCCCCAAGAGCAGCTTTAGCTGTGCTTCTCTTAATAGCTTAGGACAGTCCTGTAATCATTCTCCGTGCTCCCCTCTGAACCAATGCTTCAATGCTCTTTTGAAGATACCTGCCCAAAGCTTGTCTTTAAAATGCTACACAAAGCATTTGAGAATGCTTTCAAATTGTACTCTATCTGCTGGTTCCAAGTAGTGTGGGTTTTACATTATTTTTTCACTTGCAAAGTCCTGTGTGAGACAGACTGACCAGATTATATAATTGTTGGTTTGACTCTGTGTCGCTGTGTTATTATGTTTGGCAAAGCCTGTCCATAGCTTGATGTTTCTGAAAGCAATGGTTGTGTAAGAGAGAACGGTGGGTTTGATTTACGATTTTAATTAAGCCCATTTAGATTTACAAAAAGGATACTGTCTTCTTGTAGCCCAGCTTTAATAATGACTCAGCACAAATAATGTTTGCTTTTCTATTCACAGTGCCAAAGAAACTGCTGGATGAAACCAACCCCAAGCCAACTCACTATCAAGGGTTCCACCACCCAAATCTTCCCCTTCACCCCAGAGCTCACGACCCTAACATTATCAGGGATGGTGTCTTCTCCCATGATGTGCTGCCTTTTATAACTGAAACGTCTTTGCCAGGTAAGCCATTTTGGACCATTCTAGAAGGGAATATTAGACCAGGAGTAACCGGGAAGCATAAGTACTTATGGGAATTGTTAATATTTTCTAAGGTGTTATCCTGGTTTAGTTGGTAGCATGCTCACCTCTGAATCAGTAGATTTTGGGTTTGAGCTCCACGTTGAGACTTTGAGCTCATAGTCTACATTCCAGTGCGGTGCAGGAGCACTGTATTGTCCAAGTGCCGTAATTTAGATGAGATGTTTAACTGAGGTCCAGTCTGCCTGTTCAAGTGAATGTTAAAGACTTTATGGCACTCGTAAAAAGAGAAGGGAGTTTCTTCCAGTGTCCTGGCCAACAATGCTCCACACAAAAAAAATGGCCATTCACTTCGTAGCTGTTTGTGGGATATTTCTGTGCGCAAATTGTCTGCCATGTGCATTTACAAATACACAGAAAATCTTTGTGAAGCCCTTTGAGATGTTTCAGTATGATAAGAACCTATATCTAATGCAAAGGTTATTTTCTATTAATTTGTTGGTTGCTTCAGTAGAACACTGCTTCAATCTACCTCTGTGACCTGCTCAAACCCTACTGACCCAGCCCCTTCCTCCACTCAATGAACACTGCCCTGATTCATGTCCTTCATGTCCCCTGCCCTATCCGCCCACCATCAGTGGATTAGTTTTCAGCCATTCTGCTCCTACTCTCTAAAATCCCTTCCCAGAGTCCCTTTGGCTCATACTTTGCCTCCCTCCTCTCTCCTTTTAAAACCCGCCTCAAGACTCACCTCTTCAATTGGTCTTTTGATCATCTTCCTTATTCCCCAGCCCGCACCCCCAGCTCCCATCGCCCCCAGCTTGGGTACAACAACAACAAGATTGCATTTAGAGAGCGCCTTTCACATCGGGAGGTACTCAGTTAGCTAAGCAAAGTACTTTGAAATGTCCTTCTGACAAGAAAGTCTCTATAAATTATATTGTCGTGTTTCATTTCCATGGAGTAAATAAGCTGGGATGGGATTGATGAAAGAAATAATCATAATAATAATTATAATCCTTGCATTTCATACAGCACCTTATCACGAATTTGAGTACTTCACAAGGCGCTGTAAAGTGAATTGTCTGTATAAACAGCAGTATCCCACAACAGTTGTGGATTGAGTGACCAAATTATTGTTTATTTGTTTATATATTTATTTAATTTTATTTGAAGGGATTATTACCTCCAGAAAAGCAATCCACCAATCTACTAACAACTGGTTTCCTGCTTACTACTAGGTAAACAAGAGGCATGAGGAGTAAACATTTTGCCCTGCCCGGGAATCAAACCTAGGTCCACTCTCTTGTGAGGCGAGTGCTCTAACCACTAACCTACAGGACTCCACAAGAAAGTCTGTCACCCTAATGCAGCCATGCCCTGAGGAGGAATATAAGGCTGTTTTATATCTTTAAATAATAAATATCTGACATGGATGAGGATATTAAAAGCTCTGAGGATATTGACAATGTGTTGGTGTGAAGCTGGCAGTGGTGGCTGTTTGTCTGCAGTAAAAAGTATTTGAAGTGTTGGTTCGCATGATACTGGCTTAACTTGGATTTTATTTTAGTATTCCAGCTGCCGTGCTTTGCGGGCTGGGGCGGGGTGATTTATACCCGAATTATCACCTGTATTACACCTGTTAGTCATCAACTGTCTTGACCAGCTTTATCAATAATGTGACAGTTATTACAGGTGATAATTAAGACTTCACACATCCTATTTTTCACTCTGTCATTAATGAGCAAATATTCAGAGTCAATAAAAATTCCCAAAATAGTAGTAATGAAATGCACCCAACAATTACTCTGTTGTGCTTAGAAACAAATATGCTATTTATAATAATTTATAACAATTTATAACATGGATGAGTGTCATCTAATTTCTGTACATTGCAAAATCAGCACTCACTATAACAGCTCTGGATAAAATCATTGAATAATTTCCTTTTTTATATAAACAAAATATTGAAACAAAGGCAGGATTGTGCTGGTCGGAAGCAGTGTTATATTTAAATGTGTTTCAGACCAACATGCGGCCATGTCTGAATTATCGTGAAATCTGCTCTTTAGATTTTCCATAGCAACCGAACTAAAGATATTGAACATAAAATAGAATCAGAACTTGTTTGTCATCTATTAACTTTTAACTGTTCCAGATGAAGCCTGGGAGGTAACTGATAACGACTCAATCATCTCTTACAGAAGCAATGCCAATCCTTTGCACATTGAAATTAAATTATTAACATCCCTTATCTTTCACTTGTGAGAGGAAGTTGTATCTTGTCTATACTAAATACAATAAAAGCGACTTTGGAGGTGGCAATAAAATTTCAAAGGGCTCCGCCTCTTAGTTTTGTAGAATTGGAGAACAATGGCTTAATGTGCTTGGTCTAAAGTCTAAGAAGAGTATTACTATAGTTGAGATGTACGTGGCGAGTTGCAATCCAGTTACAGGATTTTTGCTGCACACATATTTGTAGTGTTTGTGCATGTCAGCAATCTTTTCTTTGGAATTGATAGTAAATCCAATAGGGCAATGGAATGTTCAATTAATTGATCAGAGGGGGTGGGTGATGCTACGTACTAGATAGTATTTGATTGCTTTCAAATTTAACTTGTATTTTTCTGCACTTAGAAGAAAAGAAGAAAGGAAGATCTCCTTCCAGTTACCCAATGGACACTAAGCCCCTGCCACCACCAGTGGATGAGACAGATGTGCGACTTCTGGATCGTACCATGGAGACGAGAGGCATTCAGACTGAGATGGAGTTACTCAGCAACATACTGGCAGCTTATTCTTATATCACAGGTACATCAGCAATTTTTTGCATTTTCCAAGTGAATAATTTAATACAAAATGAAACTGTCCAATATTCAGCTACTCTTTGATGCATCTGCCTCTTTCAAAATGTTTTAGATTTTTATTGAAATTGTAAACTTGTATCTTGCGCTGATGTTTTTGCGCTTCTGCATTTTTTTTGGATTACTTGCTTCAAGTTGAGTCAAATTTTATTTTCCGATAAGGGATTGTTTTAGTTCTCATTCAAAATGGGGGGAAAGTTTTGTTTGATGCTGTTCTTTCAGCTGTTTATAAATAGCTTATCCTAGGACTTTATCCAGCACCCTCCCTGGCACATTCAGTACCCTGAACTGTACTTGATCCTTTGATGAAATCTGCCTTGATACTTGACTAGAATTGCTGTAGGCTGCATTGTAGCATGTTTAGCGAAGAAAGCTGCAAATTTAGAGTCCCTTGAAAGGCAAAATGTCTCAAAACATTTTTGCATACAATGAAACAATAGAAAACACCCTTTCTATAACACTCTAGTTTTGGCTATGGTTCCCAGACACTGAATAGCCTTTTGTTTAGCTGCTAACCTTAACTGGTGAAGGAATCTGTGTGACTCCAAAAGCTTGCGTCAATTTGGTCCAGTGAAAAATATTGCTTGATATTACAATGAAACAATTTGATATTACAGTGAAACAATTTAATTACAGTTTTTACAAAAGGACTAACAAAACATCTATTTTCATAAAATACAAAAAAGGAACAGCACGGCACAAATCAAAAACTTTATAATTATGTAAATCAATAAAATTGTATTAAACATTTTTTTTTATGGAGTAAACAATGTTTTATGAAAGAAATGTCTCTTATTATCAAAGCTAAATAACAGTAGAAAAAAAACCTTTCAATACTCAGAGGATTAATAGCTTAATAGCCGTCTTTGACATTCGTTGCCCAGAACTGTGTTGATATGATAAAACCATTTCGGACATAGGCTGTTCAAAGAGATTAAGCAAAAACAATAGAGATGAGTATAGTCCAGTGAATCTAAATCCAAACGTGAATGCAGGTTAAGAACTACATTGCTCAGATCTCCAAATCTAAAGTTGTGATTGCTAATAACAATTGGACTGGGACTATTAATCTAGAACCAAGGGTCAAAACTGCTGGAAATCTGCCCTCATTTGCTCCAAAGTTTCAAGTTCTGAATTGCCTCCAGATCAAAACATGTTAGAATGACAATGTAGAATGTCACTTTTAGAAGTAGGTAGATGAATTGCACCTTTTCTCCACAGCCTCACAGCATGATCACTGAGGGTGGTGAGAATGTGGAACTCACTGCTGGAAGCCATGTTTGAAGCAAAAGTATCAATATATTTAAGAGAAAACTTGATGAATACATGAGGGAGTAGGGAATAGAAGGGTATGAGTGACAGGATAGGAGGGGTGTATAAATAGGGGCATGGACTAGTTTGCTGTTTCCATGACATATGTAACTTTATGCAAGTCAAAGCGCTGATCAGCATGCTAACAGAGTTTCAGAGGATTGGTCTGAAATGTATGTGACTACAGCAGCATCTGCTATTTAGAATCATGTCGCAATTCTTGCAAATTGGACCTCTCTGTTACTGATCTAGCTGATGTAGCTTTTTGACAAGAAGAATAGTTAGTCTACAAATTATTGCTGAAAGAAGCTTGGGAGCTGGTCAATAAAGATAGTGGGTATTTGAAATGGTGAGTCTAGGACATGGGATTATTGAAGGAACAGTTTGATGTTTTTAACGAGAAGATGGTAGGGTGGGTATTATTGGAGGATGAGATCAAATGGGCTGAAGGATTTTCTTTGCTCTAATGTGTCTTGTGACCTACCCATCATCTCATCTGAGATCAGAGCTTGCTACAGGGAAGCTTAGAAGCAGGAAAGTGGGAAAACTGCAGCTTAAATATGTTTCCACAAAATGTTCTACCTGTTACCTTCTGAATCCATTGAGCAGGAGGGTATGAAGTACGTATTTCAAATAGATTCAGGTCGTTTTTGTACTGCAAAGCTGATGAGAAAGCTTTTGTGTAATTACATTTTACATTCTTTTTAAACTGGATATAATCGGTCCTCAAAAAAACTCTGAGTAGTATAAATGTAGCAGTTTATTTTGAAGTAGTATACTGTATTTTTTAAAATGCAACAATAACTTGCATTTATAAACTTACAGAAGGTTCACAACATAGAAAGAGGCCATTCTATGCTGGTGCTATCTCCCTACCACTAAAACAATCTACTCTAATCCCTTGCTTTCCCCTTCTGTTTTAATGTTATCCTGTAGAGAAAATGGCAGGAATTCCATTAAATCAGCAGCTTCTCCTATTTTCACATTGCTTTGCAATATAAAGATGTCATGAGCAGTGAGCTCACCCACACAATGCCAACAGTACTTGTCAAATATACAGCAATCATGTAAAAGGCTTATGTCATCAGAGTAACTGTCTATTGACATGTTTCCAGTTTACTTGAAGAACAGGCGATTGGCAATGTGGTGACATTGTCACATTGCCGGTAACATCAACTACAGAGTGCTATTTTCGTAATCTTACTTTTAACAACACCTGAGACAAAAGTATGCAACTTGTGTTTGCAATGTTAGCACTGTAGAGACTGTATCGTAAATCTCAGCAGCGGAGTTTTACGGCAGGCTGATCTCAGCTTCATAGGAGCCAGGGCTGTCTAAAACTACCACCTTTGAATAGTCAACACAAAGAGACAAAACAGACTGCAAAGGCATGTTAACATTGCCCGTAATTTTTTGTATCCATTTAGCAAAATGACTGCTGAGATTATCTTCGGTAGCCTCTGAATTAGCTAAAGTATCCCAATATTTTTCTTGTAAATTTTCTGCAGAAATGCTGCAGTAATACTAAATAGATGAATAATTTCACTGGCTTGCTGCAAAATACAATACAGGCACATTCATCTCTAAACAGTGGTTAATAATTAAATGTCTGTTTTTGTCACGCCGCATTACCTTGCTATGCTGTAAACTGGTTGTATCTAGGCATACCTATGTAGATATTTAACACAGCATACCAAAGCTTATTCCCTCCCCCACCATCGAACTTTGTAACTTTGTTCTAGAAAATGTATAAATATGAATCAAAAATAAAATCCATGTAAACTCTCATTGTTCCCCATTTCAGGAACATGCTGGATATGATTAGTCTGCCATCCATTCACAATAAAAACTGCACTGACATGCAACTAATCTCACTGAAGAGAACATTGCTTTTTCAGTTCATCCTACAGGAATGCAGAGATTCAGAAGTGTTTTTTTTATTTGTACCATGAGACGATTTGGGAGTAGATAAGACATCTGGCATCAAATGCCGATTGGAAGAAGGCTTAAAATCTTTAGTTTCATTAGTTTCCAGGTGCAACCTGGCAAAGAAAGAGCCTTAAAGCAATTCATCCAGAGTTGCTGCACAAGCTGAATGTTAATGATCCATGATGTGATTGCGAGGCGCTCCACCTTTTACTGCTGCTCAACTTTGGCACCAACTGTAGTGGGCGGGAAGCAATAAATGCCCTCCCACTGGCAACTGACCTCTGTGTCTATACATTAACCAGTTGCTCCAACCAAATTTCACAGAGTAATTGAATGGAGGGGTGAGGGTAGAATGAAAGGTGTACAGATAGCTTAGCTCAACAAGTGTCGCATCACAACATTTGCTTAGAATGGAGTTAAATATTTGAAAGGGCTAGGTAAAAAAATAAAATTAATTCAATTGCAGTTTTTTAGGAACAAACACTGCTGTTAAAATACCATCTCTACCTGGATACATTATCTTAAAGTTCCTTAAATAGTTTCTTCATTACAATATTAATGAATATTTATAGAAATTACTGTAGTTTCTTTTCAAAGTCTGCTGCTATGTAAGAGATTTTGTTGAGCTACAGGCTGCAGAATAAATCTAATTCATTCTGCAGATTCAAAAGGTTAAAAATTAACAATGCAGCACGGCAAAATTCTTTGCTACAATAAGGAGAATTTAATTTTGATTCATGAATTATTACGTGGGTTAAGTATTAACTGCTGTTTATAATGAAACAGAGTCTTATCTTATAGAAGCTTATTTTATCGCTTAGGTTACCATTAATTCAAATGAAAGGAAAATTTTGAAAATACTTAGTATAGTGGGTCAATAAATTTGTCAGCAGGAGTGATGGTGTGAGCTTCAATGAATGATAGAACAAGCAATAGTTTAGTTGACTGACAACTTGGAGACCTTTGGCAAAGGACACAAAGGTTGGCACCAATTACGGTTCCCAGTTAAGAATAATAGAGAGGAATTTAAAAGGTTAAGAAGTTATTGAGTACAGAATAACTGCGCGTCTAGGACGTTCTATTACACTATTAGGGTAAGGCAGTGGAACCTTGATTATTCACTATATTGGAGCCACTTCTCCCACCTTTTGTGGATAGGTCAAATTGGTAGTTTATCAAAGTTCTAGAGTTGTATTTTCTAACTAATTAGGTAGCTCAACTAAACATATGAAGAGTAAATGCCAAAGTAGGGAAGGCAGGAAAGATGAACTTACTCCTCATTGTCCCAACCTGGACAATCTTAATCTCTCTCTCTCTAAGAGAGGAGAAACTCACAATTGTACCAAAAGATAGTTACTGGTACCAAAAGTTAGTGAAAAAAGTAAGCAGCCACACTGGGACATTCATTATCCCTGTGATGATCAATTGTATCAGTGTCTGACAAAGGGGAACAACTTTTGACAAAATCCAGAGTGATTCCACATGGTATAATTGCTCTTTATCAATGTACAGGTCAAACATATTGAAGGTTGTAATTTGCAAATTGAAATGCTCATCACATGTATTTCATGTATTGTTGTATGGTGTCAGCCTGACTCAGTGACAGCACTCTCGCCTCTGAGTCAGAAGATTGTGGGTTCAAGCCCCACATCGGAACTTGGAATCACATAGTCTAAGCTGACGTTCCAATACAATGCTGGAGGTGTGTTGCATTGCCAGCGCCTTGGGACGTCCTCTTGACGTGACAGGCGCTATACAAATGTAATCTTCTTGTTGTTGTTGTCAGAGGTGGCGTCCTTCAGATAAGATGTTAAACCGAGGTCCCGTCTTTAGATGTTAGGTGGATGTTAAAGGTCCTATAGCACTATTTGAAAAGTGACAGAAGTTTCTCTGGTGTCCTGGCCAATAATCCCCCAAATAAAATTGGTCACTCACTCCATGGCTGCTTGTGGGACATTGCCGGGCACCATTGGCTGCCGCGTTTCACCCAGAAAATACAGCCAATCAACTTTACAGTATATCCTGTGAAGTGCTTTGAGACATCTCAACAACATGATATTATTTTTATTATTAAGTAAAACACAAAAATCTCTGAGTGAAAAATCTACTAAAATACCCCAAAATACAGTCATCACCTCAGTAGTGAATAAGGCTAATGGGTCATTTACCTGCCAACATGATGACATTTTTAGTATTCTCCATAAATGTAAACTTTTATTTTCCTATGCTTGTCTCACCTATTGCATTTCCATTCGGCTTGTCTGCCCAGCACAGTTTAAAGGGCTGTGACTTTGGTGGCACGAAGTAATTCTAGCTGGGGGCAATTATTCCAACATATCTAATATGCGGGGTGGTTTGGATGAGAAATGGTATTCACAATTAAAGAAAAGAATGCCATGTTTTTATATCATTATTTAACGTTATTGAAATACATTAACTGGTTTTGTTTTTTTTACAGAAAATCCTGAGAGATCTGCTTTATATTTTGTGTCTGGGGTGTGCATTGGTCTCATTATAACACTCTGTGCCCTGGTAGTGAGGATATCTTGCCGGACTGAATTGAGGAAGCCGGCTGCCAAACACCCCGCTGAAGAGGACAGTGATGAGGACGACAGCGATGACGATAACTCGGATGCCACCTCCGATCTCTCGGCCAGGCGGCACCGACGCTTTGAGAGAACTTTAAATATGAACGTCTTTACTTCGGCAGAAGAGCTGGAAAGGGCACAGAGACTGGAAGAGAGGGAGCGAATAATCCGGGAAATCTGGATGAACGGACAACCTGATATTCCTGCTACGAGGAGTTTGAATCGCTATTACTAAGCAGCCCAGCAGTATTGACGTGGGAATGGCAGAGAAGAGCTGGCAATGCTAATAGCACTCAGTGACTGCACTCGACTGGAACCAATAATGCCTTCAACTCTCAGTGCATCTTCAGAACTGTTTTACCTACAATTCACTAAAGTGGAGTAAAGAGCCTTAATTTCACTATAAATATGAAAAACACTTCTCAAGGATACTCAAGCTAATTTGTTCTCATTAACTGGAGAATATATTGTACTGGTATTAAGTCATCCACTGAATCTTTTCAGCCTTAAGACATCCGGGGATTTATCTTATTTAACAGATTTATAGATCTATTTTTCAGTGGCAAGGTCGAACTGGTGCCTCAGGGATGAAATCCTGTTATTTTATTTTGTAAAATTTTAAGGATGAATTAACACATTGTGCAGGATGTTATCACTGGTTACAAAATGTTGGGGGTAAAAACCTCAAAGAGGTTAAATAGTGATTGACACTGACCTACACATGAATGTGCCTTTGGCTTTCTAACTTGATGACTGCTGATAATTGGAAAGTGACGCACATGCCTTTTTTCTTACTGCGTTGAAGAAGCTTTACGATTGCAAAAATAGGATGTATGAATGTAATGTACAAAAAGACTGGTTGAACAAGACCAAACACACATTTTTCTTTAGCTAGAAAAAATTCGAAAACTCTAACTCTGAATGTTACTATTCTTCTTGGATCTCATCTCAGAGATCATTGGGAATTATTGCAGATACATAAGAGTGACACACACTATGCTTTACAATGGTTCAGGCTATTTGGGGCCTTAAATTATCAGGAATCCCTTGCAGATATCAGCATAACACTGTGGGACTGTGAATCTTGCAACTGTTCAAACGTAGACATTTTCAATTGTTGATGCTATTGTTTTAGTGGGAGGGGAAGAGCTGAATGAGCAGTCATGCAATGAAAAAACTACATGTGGTGAGAATTAATCTGCAACTGTTACATAACTGACCTTGCACTGGCAAGAAAATCCAGAAAATCTCACTGATATAACTCTTCCTTTAGACATTCTATTAAAGCTTTGTGATGGGTTAACCAGGTTTATATATATTAATAAACTGATGCCACAAAACCACGACAAAAAATCTTTGATATTTTACTGTGTAAAATTCTTTTGTAATGTTNAAAAAAAGAGGAAACTATTAAAGTTTTAAATATACAACTTGTTTCCACACTTAGTCTTGAATCTTCTGCTGTTGAAAGAAAACCACTGCAAATATATGCTATTGCTTTTGGCTCCACCTATTGCTATAAGCGCAACTGAAGTAAACACAACGCAATTTACATTTATATAAAAACAACTTGCATTTATATAGTGCCTTCCATGCAGGGTAGCGTCTCAGAGCGCTTAACAGTGGCAGAGCCTGACTCTGAGCCGGTGGAAGGGGGAGGTGGCCGTAAATACAGTCGAAGAGGAAAATTTACAGGTGGGAATTGAAAAATGGGAGAGAAGGAGCAAGGCGGAGGTATTGAGGGGGATTGTTCCAGAATATCGGGGCATAGTGGCTGAAAGCGTGACCTCCGATGGTGGGGTGGAGGGTGTGAGGGACGAGTGCCTTTAATGTTGGGAGGACTTCTCAAAGTGCTTTATATTGCTCGCTATGCACCTGAGCTGGGATGAGCCCTGAAGAGGATGAGAAAGGCTTGTTCTTATTCCATGCCTTTATCACCTCTTGGCTTAACTATTCCAATTCTCTCCTCGCCGCACTTCCCAGTCCCTTCCTACACAAGCTGCAGATCATCCAGAACTACGTAGCCCATGTCCTCTCCCGCATCAGGCTTCATGTTCCTATCATCTCCATCCTCACTCAGCCTGCTGGGCCCCCATCCTCTTGACCTTGAAGTGATCTATTGGGAGATGCAGTGTCAGAGGAGCCTGGTGAGGACCGATGTGATGAACTTATAGAGTTTGTTGCAGGTGAGGATGTGAGAGTTTTGTATTAGCTGGAACTTAGGGATGGTGGAACTTGGAATCTGTTCTTGTTGTTAAATACTCTCTGGGTATATGTATATGCCCTGGTGTCCTAAAACTGCCTCATGCATATTTGTTGCAAAATTGAGACATGTGGTATTGAGGGGAATGAAGCAGCATGAATAGAGAGATGGGAAAGGAGAGATAACTAAGCAGGAAGGATTAAAGGATGTTTTTTGGACAGGTGGGATGTAATCAGTGGCTTATATATAAAAGGGATTAAGATGTCTACATTTGCTGATGATTGCTGATGATTAAATGATTAAACTGAGGAGTAATGCAGATGTTTACAACACCACTGCATTTATATAGCGCCCTTCACGTCGGTAGCATCTCAAAGGAGGATATTTACAGGAGGATACAAATGAGTGAGCAACTAAGTGGCAAATGGACTTCAGTAGACAAACATGAAGTGGCACTTTTTGGGAGGAAAACAAGATAGTAATATTCTCAATGGAGTAGAGTAGCAGATACCTAGTACTTTATTATAGAGGCAAAGATCTTTAAATGTAGGAGTACAAGGGAATAGGGCTACACAAAAAGTTAGAATTCTAGATTTTACATAGAGGGGCAAGAAAAATGCTTGAATCTAATCCTTTTTCATTCTAAAAAAAATTTTAATTATCATCGCATTTTGAAATGGGTCATGGAATTGTTGATGTCCACTAATGGGACCTCAGTTTAAAGTCTCTTCTGAAGGACGGCACCACTGGTGATGCTTTTGTTTTCGTTAACTGGGTGTCTGACACATGCAGAAATCCATCACCAGGATTTCCCAGTATTGAATAAAAGTCATAGTATAATTTTCCTGAGAAATATATTGTTTTTTATTCATCCAGATAGCAATTACATTTAACAATCACGAGACAATTATCTACATTTACTGCCCTTGCAATAATGGAGAATCAGATTGAATCATCTAAAGTCAACATTTTAGCAACCAGGAAATGAGATGTTTAACCCTTGTTTGTGAGCCTGACTGGATAACTGGCTTGTGGCTTCCAAGTGTTCAGAGCAATGTTGCTTTTGGATCCTTCGATGTCAGCTTTTTCATTAACTGAAGTAGAATCACCAAGCGTTGGATTGTCCTCCTATTAATAGAAAAAGTGAGCTAAGTTTATATCATTGTGTGACAACTTAATTTCACCCTACTGATGATATGCTGCAAATCTTCACCATCAATGACCAGACCAAAACAGCTGACCAAATCATACTCGGGACTTGCCACTCTTGATATTGCAATTTGCATAATTTGGTAGTTAAATTAAGGCAAAGGTAAAGAATATTCTGCTAAAATGACTATCATAAACATTATAACAACAATAACAACTTGCATTTGTATAGTGCCCCTCATGCAGGGTAGGGTCCCAGAGCGCTTGACAGTGGTGGAGCATGATACTGAGCTGGAGGAGGGGCAGTAGAGTTTTGGATCAGCTGGATCCTGTGCATGGTGGAGCTGGGGAGACTGGCAAAGGGGGCATTTGAAAAGTTGAGTCGGGAGGTGATGAATGTACGAATGAGTGTTTTGTCTCCGTCTGGTGTAAGGTACGATCGGAGGAAGGCAATATGGTGGAGGTATAGGATGGCGGTCCTAGTCTGTACATTAATATGAATATGAAAATATTAAATAAATTAATTGCACATATTAATATGAAAAAGGGATTGATGTGGACAAAAAGCTATAAATGACTAAATACTGTGAAAAGCAGAATAGTTCTGCTATTTGCATCCTTTGGAAGCCAAATTGAGAGACTGAACAAAAACAATTAGGTTCTGGATCATTCACAGCTGCAAAAGAAAAGAGGCTTTCATGTGGAGTCACAGTGCAGTCATGTATGCATGACAGTGTTCAATCTCAATTCAAATGTTGAGATATCAACCTGTAAATATCCTACAAACCAGTATTGAAGTGGCGTGATCAGTGATCCAACCACTGTGACAAAGTTGGGGTGGGGGGAATGGAGAGGGTTTCACTAGATATTGAAAGATATGGATAGTGGGATTTATAACAATGTGACATTGACAGTGATAATTATCTCTCCAGGATTATGGTTTAAATGGTGGAGTCCTGTAGCTCAGTGGTTAGAGCACTCTCTTCTCAAGCGAGAGACCTGGGTTCGGTTCCCAGCAGGACGAAATGTTGGGCAAGTTTCCTTACTCCACATGCCTCTGTTTACCTAGGAGTAAGTAGGAACCCTGTTGTGAGTTGATTGGCGGATTGTTTTTCCGGGAGTAATAATTCCTTCAAAAATAAATTGGTCACTCAATCCACGACTGTTTGTGGGACTGCTGTGCATAATTGGCTGCTGTGTTTCACCCACAAATATACAGTCAATTCACTTTACAATGCGTTCTGTGAAGCGTTTTGAGACGTCTCGGAGATGTGATCAGGAGCATTATCAAATACAAGGATCATTAGTATTTATTAATAAATTAATATTCAGTTGACTTGTAACACCGATTGAAGGATCTTCAAACTGAATCTTGAAATTACACCCAGTTTTAGGTTGTCCTAAGATTAAGATTATCCAGAAATCTTAAATTCAATCTTAATTGGAACCTGGGTTTCTGCAGTTCTGAAAAAAAAGTTTTCAACTTAATACTGAATTGAAGAATTTTCCACAATTCTGTGCAATTTAAAATTTTAAGACAAAATGGTTTTAAAGGCTAAGATTGGGTGGAGATTTCCATTCTCTAGTGTGATGAGGTGTAAGGTAATGCCTATAGCTACAATGGAACATTTGTTTTTTTTCTCCAGACCCCCTCATTGGCTGTGTTGCTGATGTCGATACTTTGTAAGTCTCTGCAGCAATAAAATTAATGTAAGAGCAAATTAAGTGTGAGCATCTGGATCCAATTACTTTACAGCAGGTCTATAATTGAGCAGCCAGCCAGCTTGCCTGGATGCTATGTCTGTAAAACATGATCTAGCCATGTGACTAATTCAAAATGTTTGATATGCAACACAATTTCCATTTCTATGGCACTTTTTATATCATGCGGATGTCTCAAAGTGCTTCACACAGTTGTTCTGGACCTGGAGCTGGGGCAGGAGTGGGGAAGAGCATGACCCAAACAGCTGGCAAAAGGGTAAGTTGAATCATGCTTAAAAGGGGAAAGGTAAGGAGCGAGTCAGGGAGACTCCGGCGTGAAGTTCCAGAAAGCAGGGCCAAATGACTGACAGTTCCCCCACTGATGGAGGAGAGGGTCGGGTATGGGACTGTCGTTCCCTCCTTCACAGCAGGCGTACAAATCAATAATAGCTGTATGGTTGAGGCGATGTGTCTAAGTTGCACCAACGGCTGAAACTAGGGATCATTTCATTATATTTTTGCAGTGGGAAATCCCACCACTCCCACAGGAGGGGTTTGTGGTGCTAGTGGAAGTACCCCCCTGCTTTCAGGAGAAGATGGAAGGAAATGAGAGAAAACTGGCAACCAGGTACATCATCATGGATCATGAAACCTATTTTACATTTTACGTGCTATTGGGCAAGCAAATTTTGCTTTATAACTCCATCAGGAATACTAATAAAAACTGTTGCCAGCGGTTAACACAATTAAAAAAAAACTAGTGTTTAAGAATGTTATTGGTTAAATAGATTAATAGAAAGAATAACTAGAAGTGCACTCACCACTTTTTCAGCAATTTCTAACATGGAACTTTGAACAAAACCTTTGAACAAAACTCACAAAACACAGCGATATATACACAGAACACCATTTATTTAATATTATAAAAGAGCCATTGCCCAAGCAATTCTTTAACACCAAGAAATTTCATTGTGAAACAAAGCAACTATGGATATGCTTGGTTGTGCTTTTACCATAGTGGGTGTGAACTGAACTGCTCTTAAAACCACTTCTCCAGTAGGTATCAGGAACAGTATCTAGTGCAATTCTTGCTGGTTAAATCACAACACACACCGCTCATCTTGAAATATAAATGCATCATTCCGTATAAACATAATAATAATAATAATAATCCTTGCATTTGATATAGCGCTTTTCACGTTGGGAGGATGTCCCAAAGCGCTTCACAGAACACACTGTAAAGTGAATTGACTGTATATTTGTGGGTGAACGCGGCAGCCAATTGCGCACAGCAATGTCCCACAAACAGTCGTAGATTGAAAATGACCAATTTATTATTGGGTTTTTTTGGAGGGATTATTATTAGGCATGTGGAGT